ATAAAAAATCAATCCGACTTTTGAAGTCACTAACCCACCTACTCTTAAAGTCACTATTTATCCTGTTGTTGAATCATTAACCTATCAACCAATATAAATTATAAACACGCGCTACTGAAATTATGAACCAATCTAATAATGGAATCATAAACCACATGTCATTGAAATCGCCAAATTACGTACATTAAATACAAAAAATTAATAATGAGAAATGTACGAATGAAAGTATTATTAACAATATTACTGAACTTACCTTGAGATAACTTACGGGGCAGCACAAAAGTTGCCATATTACTGTATTATTAGATTACAGTTGTGGTGCAAATAAAAATTAAATTGTTTATTATTACGGTCACAAACAAAATCTACGTATACAAATCAGAAATTGAATAAAAGTGGTTGGTTGGTTAATAACAGGAAAAATCATGTATGTACAATTTTATTTTAGTTTTCACATTTTCAAAATGCTATCATAATCACGCAATCTTATGTACAACGAAACAACGATAGATGGTGGTTAAATGATGCAATGATGATATCATAAAGGTCGCAAGTACAGTTCGAAATGATTGTTGAAGATGGACAGGCGATAATTTATAATAGTAAAAATAAAAGTAAAATATATAAGAAGGATAGCTCCAATGCAATAATAGATCTGCAATAACAAAACTTCAATAGTCATATGCCACTATTAAGTGTAATACATAATATACTCGTATACCTAAAAATAGATTCATAATAGTCTATTTTTAGATATACAGGTTTTCCCTGGTTTTCCACAATTTTCAACCCTACCTGCACAGCCTGCAGCATTATGCAAGCCGACTGGCCCGCACTGCGCAGTGGACCATTCCTAATTAGGAGGTCCGCTAAAGCCTTGTACCCACGTGACTTTTTCTATGTAGATCACCAATCAAAATCATGAAATTTCGTTTAGCCCGAAGAAATCAAAAAAAATCAAAAAAAATGAAAAACGGCAGTCTAAACCTGTCTTGGTACATTAATAAAATGTCGGGACCCTAACACTAAACTAACCCTAACCCGAATTACAATTAAAACTTCAAAATCAAGTGGGTAATAAGGCTTTAGTGATCCCCCTAATTAGGCAGGTATCCCTTCTAAACTCCGAATAATTTCCAATCTTGCTCGTGTTTACGTTCGATGACATTCTATTCAAATTATTTTGGAATAAACGACGAGCAGTAAGCTTTTTTATAAAACAAGACTTGGATTTTTATGTACTATTTATTTACTAAAAAAGGTAGTATTATTAAACCGGTCTTTTTTTTGGACCAAACTTTTCTAAATTCTGGTAATAATAATTAAAATTTTGGCCAGTTTTAGTAAATACCACCTCTTTTAGAATTATCCGTAGTCCTGATAAAATGCGCGTGATTCGGAGTCATGTATATTAATGCGCTACACTTATTATACAGGACTAACTTTGCATTTTTACCATTTCTTTTGCTAAAATGTTAAATGATCTATTTGTAAAGCCACATAGAACTGAGTCAACACTGATTCTATGGTTTCGTCGTCTTGTCATTTTCATACTATTGTTATTATTACTTATTGTATTTGTGATATTAAGTATTGGAGTCGCTAATGAAGTGCCTAATGTCCAAAGTACTTTTAGTCCAAATGATAGTGGTGTGCCAGCACCAGGTAAGCAAATAACGATAATTATTATTTTTAGTATCAGTAAGAGAATTATAAGAAGTATATTTTATAACATTAAAATCATAAATCAATACAGATATTTATTTTGCCCATAACAAAAATTTCACAATAAGTTGCATACTTTATTTACGTCAAAACCAGACCAGTTGTGACGAATATATTAAACCAGTAACTTTTGACCCCAGATTTGATCCCAGTAATAACATTTCTATAAAATTTTTACCAAAAGGCAATATAATTCTAAGTTCTAATTATAATAGAACAAATGCATATTATCTTCGACTTTATATAAGTATTACAGATCCTACATACAATGCCTCATTGGAGCGTCCTGTATCGATGTATGCATTTGATTCAGGTAAGTTTTTAATAATTAATAATGTGCATTTAGTAAATATTCATATATATCAATATTTGATATTGTTATAAAATATAAATAGAATATGGTCAGTCAAGTGTTCGTTTACATAAAGATGATGAATTTGTTCAATCAATTCGCAAAATGAATCATTATTATCTACCACCCGTTTTCTCTGTGGTGTGTGACATTCTGAATTTGGTTCTAAGCTTACAAATTGAAATTTATCTAATAAAAAAAAAACTATTATCAAATATTAAGATTCAATACTCTAGAATTATCAAAAAATCAATGGTTCAAACACTTTGGACGTATATTGGATTTCCATCAGATTACCGTACCGTAACTTACCTTCAAACTGACACGCGTAAGTTTTACTATATAATATACCTATTTTGACCTTTTAAGTCTGATTTTATTGCACTATTTAAAAAAATTCAATTTTGTTTTTTCATTAATTATCATAGATATTGCGAGTATAGATATTGGAAATCGTAATCGTAGTAACTATGCAATGATACAAATACAGCCAAAAACTAATACTATAGAAACTCAAATAGAGCAAAGGTAATCAGAAGCCCTGTACGAATTCAATTTGAATTACATAAGATTAAGCAATTTGTTAATATATACATTACAAATTTATTATAATAGGAGCAATACTGTAAGTAACAAATAATTAAAAATAAAAATCTTTAAAATTATTTCACTGAAAATCGCTTCACTGACAACTTACGGACAAGCTTATTTTATTAACAATTAATTCACCAACAAAGTAATTCTGATCATTGTCACTAAGTCAGGTTTTGAATTAGAGGTAAGGTTAGTACAATTTTTAAAAAAGAAACTTGTTGATGAAATAAGCTGTCTATGAAATGAACATGTCGGTGGCAAAATAAGCTTGTCTCTAAATTAATTATTGGTGAAGTAATTTTCGGTGAAATGATACAGATCCTTTAAAATGCATATGGTTAACCTTGCTCAAATAGGTTGCGGCTATATTTGGAGTTATTGCTGGTCTTTACAGTGCTAGTATTGGATTTTATGCAATTTTATTTGGTAAACTATATCACCTTTTTTTCATATTATTGAACTTAGTAATTTTTATAGCTCATATTTTGTTTAAAATTTTTAGGAACAGGTTCAGCCAAACCATGGGGTTTAATGCACAAATGCTATGTACTTAAAAAGCAAACTATGGAAGGTATCAAACCGTTAGTATTAGATTCATCATCTAGTAATGAAAATTATGAGAAAAGACTTGAAGATTTAGAAAGTCTCACATTCTCACAAAGAGTTAAACGTTTGGAAAAATTTAATCTATTTCTTGAAGATTATATTGTTAATGCACAATTATTATACACTATAAACAAAGACAAAAATGACTATAGTAAACTTCTACCATAGATACATCAACTCGCCAATTGAGATAAATTGTGTAGAAGGTTAATAAATTGCCAATAAATTTTTTTTGAGTGATTAGACAGATTTCGTTTATAAAAATTTATTTGCAGTCGAAACTCCCTATAACGAAGTTTTTATAGTGAACTCTGAGCCCAATAAATTGCAATTTTTAAATTTTATATTCAGTTTGGGAAATGTGCGGGGCCATATAAAAGATGTATTAATTCGAATAATAATTTTTTATCAAACCACCAGCTTTGCACCACCAGCTTGATTTAGGTAAAGATAGTTGACTGTTTACATTAGACAAATGAAATCAGGGGTCGAATTATCACGTGACTGCGCCCTCAATTGTTGATTTCCCCAGCATAGCGGGCTTTCATTCTAATTGGCCAATTTTTGTAGATCATCTGTGACGTAACAAAATTCTGATTGGCTAATAGAAAACGAGTTCGAAGTAAAAAAATTTTAGAAATTATTAGACAAAAAAACACAATTAAATTATAAATTTGAATTTACAATCACAATTTTAACCCATTGATCTTTATATTTATTGTTAAATGCGTATCTGGTTAAACTTAATAAAGAAAAAAGTCTTCAAACTTAAATACATATAAAGATAATCTTTAATAACAAAATCGCTTCCTAACTAGTACATAGTTTAATAATGAGATAAGGAATGAATAATTATAAGTAAATCAAAAAAAAGCCGTCAACTATCAATAAAGGTAATACACGCACATAGAGAGTATGAACAGTATAAAACCCAAAAACTAACTATAGAACATAACGGGTAATCGTACATATTCTCTATATCTAATATATTGTAGCTTTTAGAAGCTTTGTCGAATAACCTATATTAAGTAAAAAATATTGAAAAAACTAACTGTAAATATTGTTGTTTGAATCGCTATTTCCAAGTTTTTTTTTTAAAAAAAGCTTAACACTTATTAGTCAAGGTATAATTTATCTTGCCGATTGCTAACTTACCTTAACTTATAAGACAAAAAGTGCACCCCGTCGTTAACTTCTAGATTAATTAACCATTCTCCAGATTAATTTGATATGTTATAGAGCCTGAAGTGTAGTTTCAGAATTTGTATGCCATATCCTTTGACAATTCGTTTTCATGGCTGCCAATTCGTTTAAAGTCAGATGATATATGTGATGATATATTTAGTGATTGACCAATCAGAATTAAAGCCCGCTATGCTAACTACCACTGTATCGCCATCAAAAATATCACTTTTACGTAACGATCCACATTGATTAGCCAATAATTAATCACAATTTGGTGTAATGTAACATGATCGCGAAGATCCAAAACAAATGTCAATTTTGTCAAAATCGCTTATTTCTTAAAAATTCACATAAGAAACCACCTTTCGTGCACTAACAAAAAAAATTCCTTGAGTAATTTTACTATACCTCCTTTATTCTCTAACATTAGTTTAAACGCTAACCCTAACATAAACGAACTTAAAAGTTTTTTTCAATAGTCACGTGAAAGTGACATTTTTGATGGCGATACTGGGGAAGATCGCTTAAGACGACCCCTAATGAAGTCATACTAGCTGATAAATTTGGCCCAGAAATGCCAGCCTAAATCCAACAGAAAATTTAGAAATCCTTGTAATTCTTATCTAGAGATCATAATTTTTAATATATAAGGTAAGTGCTAGTATTATGGCAGGTATTTGGTCCTGTGGCCTTACCCAGTTCTTGTTGAGGTAGGACCATCCAAAATAAGGGGGACGTCTAATGCGGAGAAATATATAATTATTGTCGCGGCTGATTATGAAATCAGATTATTGTAAAATTTGGGGTCTCAATTTGAAAATATAGGCCCTACCAAAATCTACCAATACTCTTTTATTAAAAACTCTAACCCTAAATCCTAACTCAACTATAAAAAAAAAGCCTACAAAAAAGGCCCAAAAAATTTTAAAAATCGTACATGAAATAGATCCAAATTCCGATTTCATAATCAGCCGTGACAATTATTAATATTTATTGAATTAACTTTAGGGTTAGAGTTATCATATATTAAGGTTATTTTAGGTTTTAGGTAGTTATATATATGCAAAATTGCCTTTCCGACATTTTTGGTTAACCTACCAAGATAGGTTTAGACTGCCGTTTTTTGTATTTTTAGGTTTTTCATTTTTTCTTGTATTGCTTCACCAGCGATTATCAAAATTCTATAATTGATTAGCTAATGACCCAAATAAAAAAAATAATAATCCGATTATGCATATTGGTTTAGCCAATCGAAATTGTAAATTCATTATAATTAGTGTAGCTTCCAATTAAAATTTAATTGAAATATAAAATTGTACCAATTGGACCAGGTTCAAATAGATTCAATTCAGATTAACCAATAAAATTTCTATATTACTTACATAATTCAAATTAACTAATCAAATTGTTTTATTATTTAAATATTTATTATTATTATTTTAGTATTTATTGTTGTAATTGGAATGATTTAATTTAAATTTAATCAGAATAATAAACTAGTAGAATTTTGACTGAGTTCAATTGATCAAATTTCAATTAAAAAAAATTATTCAATCAAGTTTAGCTTTTATACATATGATGTTATTGTTTAAATTTGTACAGAATTTGCAAAATAAGCAAACTTTTTAGAAATTTGTAAATTTTATGTATTATACTGTTATGTATAATTTTATACTGTTTACAAAAATTGCTAGATTTTTTTACATATTTAAAATTTTGACTTAAGTTAATAAAATTAACTTTTTTTAATAAATATCTATTAATAAATAATCATATAAATAAATATATATTTAAAAAAATAAGATTTATAAGTCATATGTTTTGATACAAATCATTAATTTTAAAACTCCTATTGGATATTATATAATAAAAGACTTGATATAAGTGTGGTGATTTAGTAAAATTGTTAAGTTGTTATATCTCCAAACAGCAAAAGAGTTTAAATTTTATTGTTGATGAAATTTAAATTTACAAAAAGTAGGCAGCAATATATATATATTGCTGCCTACTTACATTAGGTTGTTACCTACTTATAAGTATATATTGTTATCTACTTATGGGTATATTGTTACCTACTTGTTTTATAGCTACTCATTTTGATCTCTATTAAGCTTACGTCATCATTCAAGTAACAAACAATTCATGCTTGCGTCATCAGAGATATATTTGTATTCGCTCCATCATTCAGTGATGAACGATTCATGCTTATATCATCATTTGAGTGACAAACGATTTGTACTTGCGTCATCAGAGATATATTAGTATTCGCTCCATCATTCGAGTAACAATTAGTTTACGAGTTTATTGTCATTCGAGTCACGATTAGTTCACGAGTTCGTCATCACATTTGTTTCGTTATTCAAGTGATGAGCATTTTGTATTTGCGTTGTCATTTTCAAGTGGATATATGTCTGACGATGCATTCAATCATGTATCGTCATTTGCGGGCTCAATGTGAGGGCTATGCCCGAACTGGGTACGTAGTGTCCTAGCTTTCTGGTTAATTTCTCGATGAGGGCCAGAGTTGAGGCATATAGTGCAGAATTGTTATCATTTGGTAGTAGCCAAAAGCATAATTTTTATAATATATATCTTTCTATAATAATTATACCTTTGACTACTACCGCGAGTACGCTATGTTTTGGATCTCTAGAAACCTTTTCGCATAGTTGATACTTTTAGATACTACTACATCAAAAAAAATATCGTGCTTTTGTATATTACCAAATAAATACTTTGGGTTACTACCAAAAAATACCTTGAAAATTTTATTCTTACTTTTGCGTACTACTAAAAAATTTTACGCTTTTGCATACTACTGATTTTTATCTTGATCAAAATTAGGCAACACAAAAATGGTTATCGAATATGTACCTTATATATTGGAAGCACTTATCTAAAATTATCTTAATCAAAATTGTATGACACAGAAATCTCCTTTATATAATCTAGATATCGAAGTATTAATTTTTGATTTGAATTTTTCTGCATACTCATTGTAAGAGGCGACAAAAACCCTTTACCTGAGATGAATAACTAGTTAAACGTAGCAATCTCTCTTCTTCAGAAATTACTACTTAACTAGATGATATTGTCTTAATACTTTATACTTGCTTTATTAAAAGATTTATAACGATTATGCATATTCAATGATTGCTAGAGATTTATTTTTCAGTTCTTTTTTATTCGGAGTAGTAAGAACTTTCATTTTAGTCTCAAAGTTTCGTTTATATTCCAGGAAAGCGACCTCATCCATACTCTTGTGCTCTTTTTTCTAATAATTATAATTATTCTGTATTTCAAAAACAATCTTGGTTCGCCATTGCTCCAATTTTTCTTTCGATATTTGGAATTTTTGCTAACTCAAAAAAATATATCATATATTGTTATTTTTTTCGATTATATTATAGCCACTTTGTGACTGCAAAGTAAAAATGCAAGATTATAACGAAATTGATACCAAAGCTTTTACCTATGCCAAAAGACATGAAGGAAATGCTTGGCTAAAGCTAGATCCAATGCAGATATTTATTTGTGGTTATACAAAAATCAACATCAATGGGAAGCATCCTATAAAGATATGAAGCAGAATTATAGATAGTGTAATAGTTGTCCCTATATATTTGAGCGAAGATGTTGATATATATTCGAAGAATTATTATATAAGAAATTTCTACCTCGAAAATCTAAATTTTTAAAAGGTTTATAGCTTGATGGGTATAATAAGGAATTACATTTGGCCTTTGAATATAGTGGCAATCAACATTTTCAAATTGTTTCTTTTTTTCATCTACAAGGACAAATTAATTTAGATGCACAAATTCAATGTGATTGAAAGAAGAGAGTACTCTGTTTTAAGGAAGGTATAATTCTTATCACAATTCCTTATTGTGTTGTTGATCTGCCAACTTT